GTTCCAAAAACGTAATTCAGCATATGAAGGGTTAAGCATGCGCGTTATTACACACATTCCGATCTGTAATCAGGAAGCGACAGAACTTTCGTTGAGATCAATCCAGCCTTTCCGCACGAGCGTTCGCTTCTGTAAACTCGGCTCGTGAATGGCGCGGTATGATCTTGCGTTATTCTCATACATAGTCTCTTCACCCTCACCGAGAACGGAGTGCTAGGAACGACGGAGGGAAACTATCTCGGACCGCTCTGGAACTTTCCACGGAGGTGCAGAAACTATTCGAAGCTTAGTCGAAACGGATTCATACGCATCGAAGTTGGTCAGATTCGTCGCGCGTGCCACGTCAGTCCCTTCGTCCTCTCGAGAAATGCGCGGAAGGATATGAGAGAAAGAGAAAGAGAAAGAGAGGGGGGAGGGGGGGAGGGAGAGAGAGAGAGAGAGAGAGAGACCAGAGTCTGAGTTCCGGACCGTCTGATGCCGGATTACATCAAACTGGCATAACACACATCCGACCTAGCTAGCTGACTGGCGAACTTGCCGCTCTTGAGACTTCACCCGGAAATTCTCCTCACTCGCTGGAGAGGAAACGCGGCTAGGGTAATTGCATCTATTCGAGCACGCCGTCAGAAACGGCAGATTGCGGACTTGGCCAACTTCGGACTACGGTGACGCGAGACTCATTCGCTGTTTATCTCTCTCACCCTCTCTGATTCTCTCTTCTACGTTTGCTGAAGATCACGCTGGCATGTAATCAGGGTTAGCTACGATTCTTATGCTAATTCGACATGAAATTAAGAATGCCTCGTTGAACATACGAGCGGTCAGTGATTACGAGAGCGGAGAGAACTATCAAGGGATTATTGAGAAATGTTTTCACTTTAATGTTCATTGATGTCAGAAAAGTAGATTTGGCAAAAGTAGTATTTAATTTTTTAAGAAATTTGAAATTTGTTTTTCTGGAAAATTGATAAAAATCTCATCACACATAGTATATAAAAGCACATTTAGAGGATTGTCATATTAGGATCACTTTACCTACATAGTAAAGGGCGTTAGGTTTTCCGGACAGTTTAGTAGAACAGTTCGTTTTCTTTTGTAAAGTAAAGTCGTTTAGTTAGAAGTCGTCTAGTTAAATGACAGACGATGGGAATCGTACGATTATTCAACCGTTCCTCGATTTACGAAACAGCAAGTCTTTCTCAACATATTTCAGGAGTCTTCCCTTTGCTTCTTTGCTTTGGTTCGTGGAAGACATTCCGATTTCCATAAGCAACGTCCAGCGGAGACGTTTAAACGACGACAGGCCAAACGTGGGTAATCCACCGTCAAAGCGCACGCGAGCACACGATCCAATAAACGATCGACAGTAGAGCGTTCCTTTGATGTGTGTTCATACATGGCTAAGCGAGACCTCCTTTTGGGGGTCGGTCGCTGGCTAACGGAAGGACCGACTTGTCGTCGAACAAGTAAGAACATACAGGTCAGTATACACACACATACGTACACGTATATTCACACAGAATATCACTACGTCACTATGAACACACTCTCGCCGAGCAATATGGTCGCAACTTATGAGCCTCCCGTGTGAATCGGCGTATGTTCACCGTCATGCGGGGACGGGGGAAGATGTACGTACAAGTTCACACGTGTAGGCCACGTGCACGAACACATGCGCTCGTTCCTCCTTACCGCCTCTCGTAGATTTCGCGTGGGAGGGGGAGGGGAAGGAAGAGTCTCGCGGAGGGAAAATCCTTTGGCCAGCGAAGCTTGGATAATCGCGCTTCGAGCTATAGACGCGCCTCTCCTCGTCGCGGTAAGAGAGAGAGAGAGAGAGAGAGAGAGAGAGAGAGAGAGAGAGAGAGAG